CCCCCAAATTATTTTTTGCCCCCCGTAAAAGCGTGGGTCGTGGGTAAAAAGGCGTGGGTCGTGGGTAAAAAGGCGTGGGTCGTGGGTAAAAAGGCGTGGGTCGTGGGTAAAAAGGCGTGGGTCCCGAATAAAAAGTCGTGGGTCCCAAATAAAAAGTCGTGGGTCCTAAGAAAATGCCGTGGGTTCCAAGCAAAATATTTCTATGTATTTACCTTTCTTCCTTTAGAATGCGTGTTTTTTTCTTCTGAGACTTTCCCAAATACACATAGTCTTAGAGCGCGTTATTAAGGCCGGGGTTTTGATATCGGCAGATCGGTTTATAAATATTATAACCAAGGGTGGATGAAACAGTTCAACTTCACGCCCCATATAGCTCAAATATTTGGAAGTTATAATCTTATACAAAGCGAACTATTGTAATTCTTCAATAGGAAATAGTGCTACCATAAATAGCTAAATTGTGACATTCAGGGCTTCACTGTAATTTGTTGATCGTCATGATCGATGTTCTTACAGTAATAAGCGAGAAATTTCACTTGGACAGTTAATGTAATGCAATGTCTGTTTTACTAGGGAAAAATAAAAAAAAGCATTTGAAAGATTTCACTTAAATACATATTTAGTATCTACTAGCAGTAGTGATCTAGACACTAGTGTCAAATTTATTATGTGTTTGTATTTTCTAATGTCAAACATAAGTTACAAATATACAGTCACATACAGTATTTGTAACATTCATGCTTTGACTTACTTTCAGTAGGCTTTTGTCGGATTATTTTACCGTAGGTTTGATAACAGAGAGGTATACTTCTACATATTTCTTGAGCATCAAGTTTCAGCGAAGTCAATGGCATGTTGGAATTTGGAAATTTCACAGCGCTCATTTAATAACAGTCCGAGTAGCATTGTTTACATGCAAGGTTTGTTCCGTTTGTAGTTTGCCATATTTCAGAAACCAAAAGATCTCTCAATTTCGTTACAATTCCACATCTCAGTATTAAATAAATTCTTTAGGATAGACTTCAGCAGTTTTAAATAACAGCAACATCGGTTGCATTTGTCTAGAGATATATTTTCTTGTAATGTTTACGACGACGTCGGTAATATCGACAACAAAATTACCGATATGGATATCGATGCATCACTATTTTGCAGACCGGCGATCTTCTTTGTAACCTACAGTTATATTAAATGACCGTATTACCGGTTATAAAAATTTGACTATATCTAGTGGATAGCACTATTCAGCTTTCGTACATGTGGCCCTTGAGCTATTGAAGAATCACAGTAATTAATTTATCTGTCTATAAGATTATAACGTCCATATATTTTAGCTATATGGGTCATGACGATCAACAAATTACAGTGAAGCCCTGAATGTCACAATTTAGCTATTTATGTGTAGCACTATTTCCTATTGAAGAATTACAATAGTTCGCTTTCTATAAGATTATAACTTCCAAATATTTGAGCTATATGGGGCGTGAAGTTGAACTGTTTCATCCACCCTTGGTTATAATATTTATAAACCGATCTGCCGATATCAAAAACCCGGCCTTAATAACGCGCTCTAAGACTATGTATATTTGGGAAAGTCTCAGAAGAAAAAAACACGCATTCTAAAGGGAGAAAGGTAAATATATAGAAATATTTTGCTTGGAACCCACGGCATTTTCTCAGGACCCACGACTTTTTATTTGGGACCAACGACTTTTTATTTGGGACCCACGACTTTTTATTTGGGACCCACGACTTTTTATTGGGGACCCACGCCTTTTTACCCACTACCCACGCCTTTTTACCCACGACCCACGCCTTTTTACCCACGACCCACGCCTTTTTACCCACGACCCACGCCTTTTTACCCACGACCCACGCCTTTTTACCCACGCCTTTTTACCCACGACATTTTACCCACGACCCACGACATTCTACCCACGACCCACGACTGTTAGCTAGTCCCGTTTTTTTCAAACTAGTAAATATTTTCAAAGCCCCCCTTCTTTTGTCTCTCTGTATTTTTTTAAAGCCCCCCTTTCAGGTTTTAAAAAATTTAAAGGCCCCCCAGTTTCTCCTCAATCCCCCCCTGTACAATAAATAATGAGCGGTCCCTAAGTCAAATTATGCTAAAATATCACGTGATAGAAACCCAAGAATATGGGCATACTAAATCCATAAACTTTTGAAACATTGGAAGAATATCTGAGCATTTAGAGAAAGACAAGCTCTGTTTTGTAGCAACCAGAAATAGTACAAATGTACACATAACATACTACACAATTATTTTATACACATATATTAAAATGATACATACAAGATACAACCACGACACCACGTGCAGACTAGCTGAGACTGATATTTATTTAATTTGGAGTATAGAAAAAGGCGACAAATATTCACAGTAGACACAATTTAAAAGATAAAACTGTACTTACACCTTTTCTTCCATTAAATAAGACGAGTTTTTGGTACATTTGACATTTAGTTTAATAAAATAAAATAATACAAAAATCAAAAATCGCGCTACATTTTTAATCCACCATGTTTAAATCAGGCGACCAATGCCTATGATACTTGGTGTAAACCTATGTTATAACGGTTAGGCACTGATGTGTATAGAATATTGGATGTTTATCATGGATGCTTTCAAAAACTTTTAAAAATTAAAATGTGATATGTTTTGTGATATGAGTATACCGTAGATATAAATACAGGATGAGCAGTATATTGAGAAGGATTTTAAGCGTGAAGGAAAGCTTCAAACTTCAACAAAGATGTATGTATGGCAGTATGAGCATGGTGTACCAAAGGGATCACTATCAGGCCCTTGGACGGACCACCCAGTATTTCACCCACTCAATTTCTTAAGCTATTTATATACTGACTGTGATTTCTCAGCCCAATTTCAGATTTACTTTTAAGTACAAGGTAAAGGTCATATGACAACACACGTCAACGAAAAATTTGTCGTCAACATTTGACAAAACCTGAAATCGGCCCGACAAATCACAATCAGGGTAACATCCGTTTGTGAATGTCTGTACATGTATCTTAAATTATATTTTAGTTATCAAAATTGGAAGACAAATAAGAGGATTGCATGTCCATGCATCAAAATCTAAAGAAACTGAATTAGTCAAACAACTTAAAGCCAAAATCAAGGTATACAGTTATTTGGTCAAAGAGGCCTATTGCAGACCTGTCAACCTTAAAATTTTAAAACAGGGAGATTTCGTTTTCCATTAGCTCCTATTCTCCTAACAATTAAAACAAGCAATCAGGAGAAAATACCTTGATACACTGAAAGACCGGACGAAAAGGGTCAAAACTGGAAGCACCGGGAGAGTCGACAGGTCTGCTATTGTTGGTATCAGTTGTGCAGTGAGGGAATCCTTTTTACTCTCACTAAACCAGAGAGGTGCTTTGCTGAGCACCACACCTGCCATCTATCTGAAAAAAATAGGCATATACCTCACACTCCTTGCCAATTACCCTGCCAAGGAAAGATTGTCACATTTGCTGAATTGTTAATGATTATTTTCAGCTATCTGGCCCTCTCACTGTTGCAGAATATATGCAGGAAGTTTTGTCCAATCCTTTGGTGGTAATAATCAATGATTAAATAAAACATTATTGAGTCATAGTAGTAGAATAAAAATTAAATGTTGCAGCAATAAAAAAACTTTTGTATTTTGTCAGGGCTATTACATGAACAAAGACGTGTTTGGTCTACAAGGGGATTTTATAACATCCCCAGAAATTAGTCAAATATTTGGGGAGGTAGAGAGTTTTGATTGTATATACTAACTATTTAGTTTCATCCAAGACTAGAGTGTACTTACTAGTGAAAAGCACCCATAATTTAGTTGATAGGAATCTGGTTTTATGAAAGATGGCTTCATTATGGTTCCCCTCAAGATTTCCAGTTTGTTGAGCTTGGACCAGGACGTGGGACCCTTGTTTCTGATATTTATTACCTGTCTATGTCATCTCAGCTTTGCTTCCTTCACTTCAATGTTCACCACCCCACATCGTCTGATCGTTTCCGATTCCACAATACCACTGACCGACTCACTTTCATCTCTTCTTGTCGAATCCATACCATGTCATCCTGTCTTCCCTCAATGTCTACCACTCCAAATTCTGATCTCTGCATTCTTGTCCTAAAAAACTACAATTTCCTGTGTAGGTTTTACATTCTACTTGGCACATGAATTTTTCGACGCGTTACCTATTCATCAATTTCAGGTTAGAGGAAAGGCATTTTAAATCAAAGTCCAAGATACTTGTCCATGCGTGAATTTTGATAATATTTAAGTATGATTTTTTAGAAAACTAAACATGGATGGCGTGAGGTGATGGTCGATATCGATGAAGATATCACCGGGTATGAAATGTGATCAGAAGAAGCGGGATAAATGTGCTCTAAACTCTATAAACTAGCTTTCTTTAGAGTGGATAGCTCCATCAGTTCATCCCCTTTTATAGCCACGACCATTTTACCAGAGGCGAAAACATTTTAACCCATTTAAAATTCTGCTAGACCACATCACTTGAAGTTTTGTTTGGCTCCTTCAAACACACCTGCAACAGTTCTAATACCTGAAGATGCCGAGGGAGATGAACTCGAGATTCGACCTCAAGCTCAAGTGATTGCTGAAAATATGGCAGAAAATATTGAAAATCATGGCGGGTGTTCTCTTATTGTGGATTACGGTGATGTCAAATGTGACAGACACACCCTAAGGGTGAGAATGATAATAGCATATGTTTCTCAAATTGAAACAAGCTGACTAACTTTAAAGGCTGGTCACAATTTCTGTGATCTAGTCACAGTAGGAATTTTGCATCGGTAAATTCTAAGTTTTGAATTATTTATAAACAATGCTTGTTTCAGTTGTAATAGGAACTTCAATTCACATTCAGGCTTTCAAGAATCATCAGCTGGCAAATCCATTGTCTGAGCCAGGAAATTCTGACCTTACTTCAAATGTTGATTTCTCGCATTTGGAAAAAGTGTTTACTCAGCATAGAGGTACGTCTTATTAAAGTCAGTTCACTCTACGGATTCGAACATAAAGTCAGTTCACTCTGCGGATTCGAACATAAAGTCAGTTCACTCTGCGGATTCGACACTTCTGACTAATGTGACGGAGTGAACTTGATCATACGAGACATGTGATTGGTGCAAAGTAGGGTTCGGTTGGATAGAACGCTTTAACTACTATTCAACCGCTGTTTTGTAGTTTAAAAGTAAAATAAGCGATTTTGATTGGTTGGAGTATTTCGTAGATGGAAATTTTTATACATTTATTAGACCTAACGAGTGGTAAAGGTAGTAATTAACTTTAACTACCTTTTCATACAACCGACCCCTGGGATATATTAGAGTTGTTGATCGCACAGTTTCAGAAGATTCGTTGGATAAGATATGTTTTTAACTGGTTATTTGTTTCCTTCCAGTTGCAACATTTGGTCCTGTAACACAACGCCATTTTCTGACAGCGATGGGAATTGATGTTCGCAAACAGGTAAAATATTAGGATTTGGGGGCATTTAGCTCACTCGATAGAACTAATTGCACAAGGGTTTTTTGTAGATGGAAAGTTTGATTTTAAATCTTATACATTTCTTAGATGTAACAAGGAGCAGTTGCAAAAAGGCCATTATAGCCAGGCCCTCTGCTTCGATTCCTCCGTATCCGAGCGTATATACGGAATCCGAGCGTATATACGGAACGATGATGTTTCAACAAAAAACAATTATTTATCGCCATGCATGCTTGATTACGGTTCTACAAATGTTTGTATTTCTAAACACGTATTTATATATTTAGGTCTTACTCAAGAAAGCAAGTGCTGAACAAGCCAAGAATATAGAAAGTTCTTACAGAATGTTGACGCACAGTAGCGAAATGGGAAATTGTTTTAAATTTTTCACTGCCATACAAGGAAATGAAAAACCTCCTGGATTTTAAATCTTCGGCAACAACAAAGTCGAAAAAGGAAAGAATGCTTGGCAAAGCAAAGCAAAGCAAAGCAAAGCAAATGCCACTATAAGCCTGGTTTCCGCATATGGTCGTAAAGTAATAGTCACCATCTTTCTCATCAGCCGAAATACAACATCTTAGAACTGAAAATATACGGAGTGATTATAACTGGAGAATACGTATGATTTATATGTGGTTTACAGGTATATAAACTATAATAAACTGGCCGTTGATCGTGACTCTATTTTTACGACCAAATCAAATGGAAACTAGGCTTAAGCTAGGCGTACAACTCGCGTTATAGAAAAAAGAGACTGCATAGATTCAGGTGTTAATGCATGTATACGATATTTAATTTATTCATCCACCGTCTAACATTACAAGTTAGTCAAGTTCTAGATAGTCTACTAATAACTTCATCTTTTGCTTTTAATTCGAATGGTTTCATCAACCCATGTCCTACAGTCTATAGAGAATATAGTTCCTAGAAAAACAATTTAATTTAATAATCATAAATATTGTAAATATATAAGAGAAGATATTCATCAAAATTGCAGATACAATAAATGACAATGCTATATAGTTTTTAGAGCTATCTTTGGTGTTTTCTATTGGCAGTATTGCATGTTTTTCCATCGAGTTATCCCTGCATGTCCCTCTTACCTTCTAATGAAGAAAGGGTTTCAGACAGTCGCATGGTTTAGCTATTAGGTTCTTCAATGCTTCAAAAAATATAAATTTTAACATAATATATAAGCAAACAGATAATTTACGAACACGAATAAAGGAAATTAATATATGCCTCTGCAGGTCAGGAATAGAGGTTCAGATTTGACAAGCGCTACCACTACCTGGCTTAGTACGCATCTGATTGGTTAATCAGATATATCAAACGCATGTGATTGGCTAATCAGATATATCAAACCTCTATTTTCTCTAACGGATTCTAACGAATACATCACTTGAAGGTGACAGGTCAATTTATAACATCGAAGTTCTTATACTGTTATACAGGTAAAATTATTTCACATCTCATAACTACAGATGCTTCGCCAAGATTCCGCGGAATTTCTCACATTTTGCCCCCCCTCAAAAAAAATTATTAGTCACTAAGAGCGACTAAAGGCTACACAAGCGTTCTGTCGTTATATATCGGAAAATGTATGGCTTATAAGTTGTCATTACTCATTAGTGAATGCGCGTATACATGAAACTGTTTTTTACAGTTTCAATATTAGTTTGTAAATCTCTGAATGGTAAAACTTGCCAATACTTCAATAATACGTTTCAAAAAAAGACAAAAAAGCTTTAGTTTTGCAGAGTTAAATTCTCAAACGTGTAAGGCAATAATAAGATGAAAGTATCACGAAATTATTTGAATAAACCACATCGCATATATGGGGGGCGAATGTCCTAAAGAGGGGCGATATTCCTAGGGTATTCGCCCCACCCCCTGGGAGGCGATATTCCTAGGATATTCGCCCCCGGGGGCAATATTCCTAGGAATATCGCCACGTTTTGAGGGGGGGGGGAATTTCCTGTGGGGCGACCTTTTTAAAAATTCTATCTTGCCCCCCCCCCAAAATTTCAGTTTGCCCCTCAAATGCCCCCCCAAATTTGGAAGCCTGGCGCCGCCACTGTGTTCATGGCACTTGTATTTAGAAACCACGTCTAAAACACTAACTCGGATTTGAAATATTAGTATGCAACACAAACAATAATAATTATATGCACCATTTTGTTGACGTCGCACAGCATGCCTTCCTTTCTATTTGGCTTCAATTGAAAGCATGGCGACTGAAATGTTGTGTTAGAAAAACAATAGGATTAATAAAAACACGGAACCATTTATTTAGGCAATAGCTCTATTGAATATAACTAGTCGTTTTATTCAATTCATTAGTAACCTGTAGGGCACACGTGATATGACGTGACCATGCTCTATAGCGAATACTTACGTACTGATTTTATGCATGTTCATTCAGATAATTTTATGCAGCATTTACTCTAATTGGTCATTCATTATTATTATTGTTTCCGCCACAACAATACATTACGCAATTACTTGACATTCTCAATGCGCTTATATATCACATCCTGTTTGCACCGAAACTCATTTTATCATCGCACACTTGATGTGAGGTTGGATTTTTGCAAATGTGCAATCTTTCATAAAATGGCGTAAATATCTACAAAAATATGATCAATAAAGCGAGTAAACAACTTGCTGTTGGTAGAAACATGAAATGTTATATTTTGGTAATATGGTTTGTGCTGGTTTTAAGTAAAACTAGCCAAGCTGCTTTACCCTTGTGCTCGAGTGGTCTCAGTTCAGTTATAACCTCGTCGTGCCGGTTTACTCCTGGCGAACACAAGTACACATCGTTGGACATTCGAAGCGACGTTTTCCTTGACACTTCGTCAAGCAACGCAGTACATACCTTCATAATCTCAGGAGATTTCATACTCCGCTCTGGAGCTGTTTTGTCGGTGGGCTATAACCAGGAGTCAAATACTGGGGCAGCACCTGGGAATTCTGGTGGAAGTCATGGAGGCCGAGGGGGAGCTGAGAGTGGAACAACATTAGAAGCAAACGAAGGAGTCCCTTATGGTTCAAGCCTGGTCGTAAATACCCCTGGAAGCAAAGGAGGGAACGGCGGACAGGGAGGTGGGCTCCTGAAGATCCAAGCATCTGGTGTTACTATCGACGGCTCAATACGCACAAATGGTGAACATGGTCTCCGAGATCGCAAGTCAGGCGGAGGTAGTGGAGGAGGAGTCGCGATCCAGTGTATCACTCTTGCAGGAGTCGGAGATGTGGACGTGCGTGGTGGTTTAGGGCAAAATAACGGTGGGGGAGGCAGTGGGGGACGAATCAGTGTAAACTGCACAAATGATGCTTTCTCAGGAACCTTTCAAGTTCAGGGCGGAAAAACAAGTAAGTAAAGATTTTAAATTGTTTTGTAAATTTGATGAAACATGCCACTGAAGTGTAGCATACCATACGCAGAAGCTTTTATACAAACAAAGCATTTAATTTAGATGTTGACGTTTCTATGACATGGAGAAAGAACAAAAGGAATTCGATAGGGAATTATTTTTGTTTTGGTTTTACCTCGGTTTTTACATGAAACCTCGGGAAAAACGAATATCAAACTTTCTTTGTGTAAGTTGTAAGATGGATGACATACTGTATAATACGAAACTGTTTGACGATCTTGGTCTTTCACATCTTGCAATGCCTTATGCAAATAATAAAAATGAATAATCCATGATTTCGGAAACATTCCCATCAATGTAGACATTGATTTAATTTCACTACAATGTCATCATTTTGCCTGCTGTTAGTCATGGGTTACATTAATTGGATCAATGCTTCGCCAACTCTCATACAATACAAATATTCATGTATTTGTGATAATTATTTCAGTATTTGGCAGACGATCAAACCAGTAAATATACTCCTTGAAATGCAAGTGCTATACGTCTTAGTGAAGACAGAAATATTTCCGTTGATATTTAATTTGTAGTTGAAAATTGTTTTTGCATGTCCTATATCGGCTTCGATACTAAGCTCTGGATATTCACCCTCATGCTGGGCGAACATCTGCCTTGCTGCAATTACTGGGCTAAGATTTTGTTATTTTGTCGACGTTATGTTTTCTTGAAATCATATATATAGATTCAATTTGTATTAATGGTATGTTATTAAGCACGAAGGTATCAGGTAGTGAGTATACTTGACTATGAACGGAAACGCGGTTTTTAAATATCGTTATCCCCCTGTCTCGACTAGCTATATGCACGCCTATATGAGTTTTACTAATTATTAGGCACTTGAACTATCAGCGCGCATTATAGTCTCGTGTGAGCTAAATAACTTTGTGGTGAAATGCTTTATAGTTTAGACTATAACTGTTGTCCCTAACAGTACAATTAACGAAGGAGTTTTGGAAATTTCATATATATAGTCGAACAAAAATCCTAATTTCTGATTTATTCTTAGTTGTAATGCCATGCATAAGTTACGAATTAGATATTAACTGGCAACAGAAGATTCTGTTTGTGACTGTGACTGTGTGTTGCAACTTTTTTTAATTTCTTTTGACTTTATTATTTAATTTGCTTATCGTTTTCTTCGTTGGTTTTTAAGATGACTAAGACCCGTTTGATAAACACTATTACTGCTGAGTATGTTGTTGAACATGCTTAGTTAAAAATGTTGCTTGCCAATGGCAATGAAATCTGTTTAATTTAATAAAGACTGATACAATATCTTAAACTCGGAACAAACAAAGGTGGGGCTCTATTTGGCACTTACAATATAGATGTCAAAGCAAAGGTGTAGTCGAACTATGTTTCAATTCTTGAATAACATTAAAACCGTAAGTATAGAATCTTCTCTGACTCTGGAGATTGCTGCCCTGCTGCCTCCCGCTCTGCACGACCCTTATTGTATACGTTCTAATCCAGCTTATCCTGGCCTACGTGCTAAAGGTCAGTTTTTGGAGTCGATTTAATGATACATGCCATAACCTGCCGCTCATGTTTTAGGTATCATTAAAATCCTGGTCAAACGACGATGAGAGTTCTTGACAGTTGACCGATCAAACGAGCAAAACCTCGCATCAATTAATTATATACTCTCATCGACTTTCGTCAAAATTTCGGTGAGAGTCGATAAGAATTGGCAGTACTGACCTCATAGTAGACGGTTAAACCCGGGCAGGGCCGCAGGAGTTATACTCTCATAATGACCTGGGCAGGCGAGATTTTAATTAAAAACATGAAAAGAAAACCGAAACCGAATTTAGCTTACAAAATGTGTTTACATATGGAATGGGCTGTCAGAATACATTTAAGAATACATATAAGGATACAATTCAATCCGGCATACCAAAGATACCATCACTCAACTCTAATCATATAATTTCTTGGTCATGTCTAAACACGTTTAAAACTATTGTTTGGGTCACAGCGGTAACTGTATAATTGCTACAATTCTCTCAAAGGTCTATAAATATTGGGCAACTTGCCAATGGTTTTTCATCCTTCCGCATTTGCTTATTAACATATTCAAAAATCAGATAATATTGTATTGCGTATCATTCTTGTATTGTTCTGCTTTATAGAGCTGCTAAAATTTTATATATTTCCCCCAGAAAATGATGCAAAAAATAAAAGTATATAGTGTTTTTCTTCACAATCCATATCAGTGAACGTACAGGTACTTTGTCTTTGGTATTTGCCAATTATTTGTCAATAATTGCATGGAATGCGACAGAGAAATACGGAAATACGCATTTCAGTTCAATTCAAATCAATTGAAAATTTAGTTTACGTCAATGCAAATCACTCCTCTTAGCAAGTGAATGCAAGAGGTATAATGACCGTGCGCAATGGCATGCGGAATGAGTGCGGAATTGGTTAGAGTTGGGTTATTTGTGCATGGGTGTTAGAGCTCGGATTTAGGTCAGGATTAGGGTTGGGGTTAAATGGCATGCCATTCCGCACCAATTCCGCCTTATACATTTACTGCATTAAAATCAGGGGAGTTATTAAAGCCAGCTACGTATTCGTGACTGATGCGAAATTGTCCGGACATTCAGGATATATCTATTAACTGACGTTTTGTTTGCTGCATGGTGTACGCAAAATAGACAACAATTAAGGATCGCATATGGTAATCCTACCATCATATTAACGACAGATGTTGGGGCGGAGGGGGGGGGGGGGG